AATTATATTTAAATATAAATATAAATTATAATAAATATTATTATTATTATTATTTAAATTATATTTAAAATATAATTTATTAATAATAAATTAATAATTAAAATATAATTAATATAAATTTATTAATTTACTTATATATAGTAAATAGTATATATTATATATATATATAATAAATTAATAAATATAAATTTATTAATGTCTACTGTATATAATTAATAATTAATTTAACAAATAATCAAACTATTACTGATATAGTAAACTAATGATATTATTTTATTTTTGGATATTGGTAATACCAAATTAGGAGAAAAGAAATCCACCATTTTGACAAATTTCATATGTGTTAATTATTAAACAAATTAAACGAAATTGTGTTTTTCTTTCACACACTCTTACAAAAATGAAATATTTCGTCAGATTTCTTTTTTTTTTTGTCACGAAAAAAAGAAAACAAAGATGTAGAGACGATGAAAAAAAAAAAACAAAAAAAAAAATCACGAAATTAGTTAACAAACCAAAAACGTTTTCCCCTGTGCTTGCTGATTTTTTTTTTCTTTTTCTTTTTCTTTTCTTCGTGTGATTTTATTTTTGGCACGAATTACGGCTTACTTTTTCACAACGTGTCAAGAAAGAATTACAAATTACGCGTTTCTCTGTTAGTATGTCCGTCTATCCGTCAGTCTGTCTGTCTGTCTGTCTGTCTGTCTGTCCATCTGTCCGTTTATTTTCTCCATTCTTTCACTTTTTTCACCAGTGAATTGAGTCGAGGATGACATACCGATACGGCCTTGACGTTCTCTGGAGTAACATAACGATAAGTATTATATACGTGTACTTGAGCAACACAACTCTCTCGATTAGCGTCTCGTTAATAATATGACTCCATTACGCAATTCGTTAGACGCATATTCGTTTCGCGATTTATTCGAAAAGGAGGAGGAAGAGCAGGAGGAGGAGGAGGAAGAGAGAAGGATGAAGGCATCATATCGACCCCCTTTTTGTGTTTTGAAGTTTTTTACACTCTCTTCCCTTTCAGTTTCCCTTCCACCATCGTCCTATTTTCCACCTTGTTTACATATTTTCTCTTTTATTTCTTTCCTGTCATTTTTCCAAAATTCCACTTCCCCAAAAAAATTAAAACAAAGAAAATAAAATAAAATAAAATAAAAGAAAAGGAAACAATTTTAACGATCTATATAATAATAATAATAATAACAATAATAATAAAAAAAATAATAATAATACGATACGGTTAACCGCGCCTAGTGGAACCAACGAAAGAACTTTTCCTTTGGGACCGCAACAACAACAACTCTTCTTCGGTGAGTTCAACGCCAGTAAATGCATCACGTGTGTGTGCGCGCGCGCGCGCATGCATGCATTCATTTTGCAATGGGACGCGTAATCGTAGAAGGCGCGGAAAAATGTCCTCCTCTACTACGAATAAGTTATACTAMTACTACTATCTATATAACTATTTACTACTGTCAACTGGTGTTCGCTATGCAATTAGAAACTGCAAACCAATGCTAAAGAAGTTTCATTTTTTTTTTTCACTTACGCGATGACACGCGCCTCTGTTTCGTAAGTTTTTCAGTTTTAACCCTTTCAATGCTAAATACATTTTATTTTAATATTTTTTTTACGAAGAAAATAATTTATTAATTAATTAATATAATCATTTTACATTATTTTACATTAACCACTTGACATACGAAATAAAATACGCGTGCAATGTTTTTTGTTTGGAAATTTATATTGCTCTTTTATCAAATTCAATATGGTTGATAATTAATTAAATAATATTATAAATTAATAATTGAATAATTTTGTAACGTGTGATACTTCATAAAGCAGAAATAGCTGAAAACAATTTTTTGACGTTTTGGAGACGTCATTGTATGTCCAGTTTGTTAATATTAACATATTAACAAACACGCGTAATTACTGTGGTAATTTTGACCAAACGCATATATGCGTTCATAGCACTGTAAGGGTTAATAATACATATAATATCTGATGCTACAGATAATACATACATAAACAAGTTTTACTACTGTATATATGTATATGCATTACATGCATAAATCGATTGATATCGAAATAACGTGATTGATTAATTACAGTGACTGATAATTATCACATGTCCGACTCTATCATATTCTTATTTCACTTACGAGTATATTCAAATCATAATAATAATTATCACAATCACAAAATCCCTGAAAAAATTTCATTGAATAATTTTTGGGAGTATTTGACAAATTGAATTTTAATTCAAAAAAGAAAAAAAAAAACAATAAAAAAATTCAAGGGATGTATAAGGATTTGTTTTTCATCGACACCACCAATTCATGAAAAAACTATGAAAGAAATGTTGTTTCGTGTGTGTTTCCTTCTTTTTTTTCTTTTTTTTTTTTTTAAACTTTTTCACAAAATTCAATTCCGGTCTTCAAGTAAAGTAACTTTATGTTAACTTGCACGTCACGAAACGCATTGACCTCTTTCCATTTTTGACTCTATTTTGGAAATAAATTTAACGAAGAGAGAAAGAAATTCGTCCTCGGAAGGTCAACACCCCTCCCCAGTCCCCAGTCCCCAGTCCCCAGTCCCCAGTCCCCAGTCTCCAGTCTCCAGTCCCCAGTCCCCGAAATGAAAATGAAATAAATTATGAAAATGATATTGTTTAAAAAAACAAATTGATTGTGAACAAACTGTTGTTGATTTCAAAGAATACATCGGAAGGTCAACATTCCTTCCCAGTCCCTAGTCCCCAGTCCCCAGTCCCCAGTCCCCAGTCCCCAGTCTCCAGTCCCCGAAATGAAAATGAAATAAATTATGAAAATGATATTGTTTTAAAAAAAACAAATTGATTGTGAACAAACTGTTGTTGATTTCAAAGAATACATCGGAAGGTCAACATCCCTTCCCAGTTCCTAGTCCCCAGTCCCCAGTTCCCAGCCCCCAAATGAAAATGAAATAAAGTATGAACATTATATTGTTTAAAAAGAAAAAAGAAAAAATAAATGGAAAAAGAGAAAATTGATTAAACACCTGTTGTTGATTCCAAAGAACATTTGCCGATGGTGCCCCTCGACGAACATCAGCTAAATCGATCATGTCATCGTGAAGCAACGATGCATTGTGGATCATTTCTACGTACATCGCAAGACTTTGTTGAAGGTTCGTTAAAGTGCTGAAAAAAATAAACAAGTCGCGTATTAATAATAACAACAACAACAACAACAACAAAATATTCAAAGAAACAAATAAAAAATGAGAAGAAAATAATATAAAAAATGTCACATTTCCAGTTTTTTTGTTGAAACTTTTTATACACTGGTCTTTTGAAAAAAAAAAAATGGTGGGTTTTTCCGAGTTACCTTTTTTTTTTTTTTACTGACACACTTTTCACATACACACACATACACACACGCAACACAAGCAGACACACACAGATTTAATCAAAATATAATATTTGAAATATTGGCAAAACACTTTAATGGCCGCACGTTTACAAAGTCAACTTTGTTTTGTGAAGAATTAATTAGAATAAAACTTAGTTAAATTTACGAAAAAAAAATTAACATCAAACAAGAACAATTTAACATTACATTTGATTGTATATCATATCAAATATATAAAATGATAAATAAATAATAAACAAATAATATAGTTATTCCAGCTATCACACACATGTTGTGTAAGCTACCATTGAAGTGTTCATTATTATAATAATCTACAACTTACGTGACTTAACCTAACTTTTCTAAAAATAATTTTTAAGAATTCAACAAATTGAATTTTAATTGAAAAAAAAAAAAAAAAAAATTCAAGAGATGCATCTAATCTGGTGTCATTGACACTTCAAATGTAAATCAAGGATTAAACATCGACAATTATCATATATATATATATATATATATGTATGTATATCAAATGATCTACAATACGTCAAATCATGTCTGTGTTTCCTATACCAATAAAACGTGACTTCCGTTGTAATAATATTAATCATACATTAAATATAGTAACTTTTATCGACCCACGTTGTTACTCCAGTTTTTCCATTCACCGCATTCAACTACTTTTCATTTTATTATTCAAAGCTACGCGTCCTTGTGCGCCCATTTTTCTTTTTTTTTTTTTTTTTTTTGATCCATACCGTTGTCTCTTTCATAACGATCGTGTTGTGATATACAATATTTTATCGTCGTAAAATAATTATCGTAGTTATAGATAATTTCTTAGGTGTTCATTTTTCCTCACTAACAACCCCTAAAATCCTGATTTTTTATCAATTTGTATATCAATGGCGGACGACTGTTTAAAACGTGAGTACATTCAAGAATTATGACTTGAGATTAATTATTCGTTTCTTTTTTTTTTTTTTTACGGTTTCAGTAACTTTATAATATATAATTATTGGATTGACAATTTTTATTTATTATATAATATAAATAAGGTTTTTATTTTCTATTTATGCAATTTTGTGTATATTAGAATATAAAATATATAATAATAATAATGTAAATATATATTATAAATATTATACAATTTATATAATTTATTATTAATATTAATTAATATTATAATAATTAATAATATTATTATAATATTATATAATTTATATTTAATATTATAAATTTAATTTTTAAAATATTAATTTAATTATAATATATTAAATTACATTAAATATTATAAATAAAAATTATATTTTAAATATATATATATATATATATATATATATATAWATTTTATACGAGCTATAACATATTTTAACAGGTAACAGAATTATCGCAAAAAAAAAAATAAAAAAATGCTAAAGTATAATATATATATATATGTATATATATACACTACTGTATATGGTTGTAGAAAAATTTGGAAAGTTTTAGAAAGTTATTTTTGTAGCGAGTCGAGTAATAATTGTGTTCTCTCTTACTCGTACCCATTCAGTATATATATATTTTTTTTTTATTACGTAAATAGATTGATTTAACGATATTGTAAACAACAGCAAGAAAAAAATAATAAAATGTAATTAGACAAATTTTGTTACGATTTATAAGTAAATAATTATACAATCGATGTGTTTAATTAGAAATTTCAATAAATAATTCATAAATAATATTTATATACTCACGTCGTTTCGTCCTTATGATAATTTAAAGCACGTGACATAAGGATTATGCACGTTGGTCTTATCGCTTTTCCCTTTCCACAAAAATAATACTTTGCTATCTTTTTTAATTCGTCCTGCATCGAATATCTGTCAAGGATCTGCAAAAAATAATATCATGTGTATTATTATTATTATTATTATTATTAAAAATATATCAAAAGATACGAAACAAATGTAATCATCATTATGATAAATAAATACATTATCAATGATTATTATTATTTCAATTATTTATAAGAAGTTTTAACAAAGGATTAAAACCTAAACACAAAAAATGCATTATCAGTGATAATTATTTTTAAAATTATTTAATTAGAAATATTATTTATAAGTTTGAACCAAAAGTAAGCAAATAAAACCTGAACAAATGTATTACCAATAATTAGTATTATTTTGTAAATTATTTAATTAAAATATTAATTATAAATTTTAACCAAAATAACAATCATAATCTGAACAAATGTATTACCAATAATAATAATTATTATTATTATTTAAATTATTTAATTAGAAATATTATTTATAAGTTTTAATCAAAAGTAGTAAATAAAACCTAAACAAATGCATTACCACCAATATATTTATAAGTTTTAACAAACTTAACAACTTACAAATCGGAAAGAAAGATTATAAATAAATAAGGGGTAGAGGGGGTGAAGGGAATTATATAGGAAGAGAGATACATTAAATCGTTTAGATTCTAATCATGTTCAGGATGAAAGTTCGGCCTGGAATTTGGCCAAAGTTCGAAAGGAACGCACATACTCGTCGAGAGTTTCGTAAGCTTACGTCATAAAAAAAAAATGTTCCGTTTACCTCTTTTAATCACGTCAACGGAAACTATAGTCTTCTAAGACATCCAAGGTGAAATAATTCAATTCATATATATATATGTATGTATGTATGTATGTGTAGATGTGTATGTGCTTGTTTAAACGGGAACACAAAAATTAATAATTCATTTTGGATTGTGTTTAGTCGAAATATTCAATGTCATTGAAATTTTCTTTCCAAATATTATAATTTGGTTCTATTTCAGTTCTATTTTTCTAATATAAAAAATAACAAGTTATAAACTAATGATAAATTCATAAATTAATAATTTATCGTTTAGTAGATAAGCTTTTATTATTATTTTTTTTTTGAAAAAAATAAATGGAATATTTTTCGTACGAAAATAAAGTCTATCAAATTGAATATATTTTTTATTTAAAAATATTAAATAATTTTGTATTTAATTAAATTTTTTGTAAATTTTAACGAGTGTCGAATAATTTTAATTAAAATCTAATAAATTTGACGAAAAATTGTCAACAAATTACAATTTACGATCGATCGTTTATAACAAACAACCAGCAAAAAGAAAAATATTTAATTGATCAAACAGAAACATTTGTTTATAAATGTTTAAATATACATAGACAATTTGCCAAAATATCATCTTCAATTTGAACATAAAATAAAATAAAAAAAAAAAAAAAACTAAAAATTGTTAAATCTAACGATGAACGAGAACAAACATGGTGGTGAGATTGTATAATTTTGATTGAATTTCTTTGTTTATTTCATATTCTCTTTCTTCTTTTTAATTTATTTTATAAATTAAATGAAAAAATAAATATTGAAATATTAAAATAAAATGAATTTTTTATTTGCTAAATAAATAAATGTAACAAAGACCTAGAGTTGTGTTGAAATGCAACTTTGTGTTGAAATTTTCCAAACAATTGATAAAGTGTTGTTTTTTAGGTTAGGTACAAATGAAATCAACATTTTTATACAGAACAAATTTTGTGATTGTTTACGAAAAGTTTAATTAGAAAATGAACAATGTTACTATCGTGATTTGAATCAAACCGAATTCGTGCCGAAAGCGAATGAGAAAGCAAGCAAGCAAGCAAAAGCAAACTCGGTTTCACGGCTTCACGGTCTGCATATGACCGAGACTTTTACTTATTTTAAAACTAGCATATGTCGTATCTGCACGTAGTATCTCTACTGCATAAATATTTACTGCACGGAATGTCATGCATAGAAAGCTTCTTTCACACCATTTATAAAATCTATACGATTGTCATCCCATTAATCAATTTGTTTGTTTGTTTGTTTGTTTTTTTTTCATTTTGGTTAAATGATTTTTTTCTATCGCAAAACTATGGAAGATAGAGGTAAGGAGTATCAATTAGGGTGGCGGCGCCACAGTAGCTTCAGGGTAAATTTTAAACGAAGCGCCAAATAATTGAGAAATAAACAAAACAAAAAGACAAATTTCGCAACAACAAATTTTACCCCATCATTATTTTGTTGTTATTTTATTCACATACTTTTTCATAGAAAAATTAAATGATAAAAAAAAAAAAAATCAATAAACGTTACTATTTCACAATTCACGAAATATAAATCATTCTCTAGCTACACGTTTTATTATTATAATTCTTTAAGTCTTATTATATATAATTCTTTAAGGTTATGTTGACAACATTATTTTGTACTACACGCAAGTAATTGAAAAATTTCAATAATTAATTACTTTAATCGCTAATAATATTACATTTTTTTGTAACTCGGCATACTTCAATTTGTTTACCATTGCTACATTCATACCATAACCTTTTGTCTACACCAGCGCCCCATTATTCTGGAAGGTTTTTGAACTGTTGTTATTTATAACATACGCTGGACACCTTGTCAAATTTTGTGTGTGTTTGTGTGCGACTGTATACTACAAAGCGTGGACACATATTATTTCGATACACGAAATGTTTCTAGGAAGGAACGATAGAAAGGTAGAAGAATAAACAGAGATAAACACGTAGGAATGCGACAAAAGTACAAGGTCAAAACAAACCGAAGGTCCAAATAAAGAAAGAAGGTGTGCGTGGTCTGTTTTTTTGTTTTTTTGAAGTGAAAACTTCTTTAGAGTAAGGAGTGATTTGAAAAGAAATGGGTAGTTCAGGAAACGAACCGGTAGATGGCGAGGTAACGGACCCTGTATACGGATAAGGCAACGAAGCAAAAGGGCCACGATTTTTATTGCTTCAATTTGGAAAAGTGTACTTTTTATCAGCTATTCCACTCAGAGACCATACCCCAATGATCTTTATTATATATGGTAATAATAATATTATAATAATATAAATCCTACAATTATCTTACTCTTGAAACTGTACATTAATCGTTTCATTCTCTCGAAACTTAGATTTTTGAAGGTTTCACTTCACACGTTTTTTTTTTTTTATACACCAATCATTTTGACTAGTGCAATAGAAATAGGTATATTGAAAATGGTGGTATATCTAATCTGTTAATCAGTTAAGTGCGTTCGACGTGTATACACGTCGTTGCTTGTCTTTAATTCAAACTAAATTCCACACTCAACTGGTTCAATAAATTCGAGAAGGGGCTTAATAAATTATTTCATTTAATATCGTCAAAGAATCCAGAATTATATTAATAAATAATTAATTAATTAATTAATTAATACTCTCTTTAGAGAGTCCAAGTTTTATACGATGAAATATTTATTCATGAATATTTATATTATTTATTAGATCTCGAATGAGATAAACTTTTGTCTGCATAGGCACGAGAGAGTACAACACCTCCTCTAACCGTATGAAGGTAGACAATGACTTATCGTCACTTTGAAATTTATGGCTAACGAACCGATACACCTCTCCTCCCCCCCCCCTCCTCTTTTCATCCTTCCCATGACCATTTCTTAACATGGAATATACCTTCCGGTATTCTTTTACGATCCTTTAAAAGAAGAATCGATGAGTGAACTCAAAGATAATTCATTCGTTCTTCTCTTTCTCTCTCTCTCTCTCTCTCTTTTGTTTCCTATTTTTTTCTTTTTTTTTTTTTCTTTATTTCCTCTTGCAATAATTGGTTTTCTTCTGTGTTCATCAATTAGTTTGTTTTTTTGATAAATATTTTCTATTTTTTTTTTTTTTTTAATTATTTTTACAATATTAGGAATAATGTTTCAATATTATTATCAATTGTTCATGTATTATAAAATAAAAAAAAAAAATA